TGCGGCCTGCCATAAAGAAAGGGAAAGAGGCAGTTGCCCCTGAATGTGTATCTAGCAGGTTCAATAAGACCATGCCTGTGAGTCTCCCAGAGCACAGTGGCTGTGTATCCTGAGTGGGGACTAAAACACGCACTGGAAGACACAGTCTAGGTTACACTTTCCCTCTCCAGCTCCCCCACACATGTGAACGTGGCTGGCAAAACACATAAGACAGTGCACACCCTCACCAGGCTCTTCTCAGTCACTGGACCAACTGGAGGGGTTGTGAGGCGTCCCTGGGTTGAAGAGCAGAAAGCGACCAGCCAGCCATGGTCTGGCCCACACCTCCAGGTCAGCGACACTTTTGCTTGACAAAGAAAGCCCCAGGTGGAGGTGGCCTATGGGACCCTGACCAAGCTGCAGCTGGTCTTGATGCAGGAGACCCGAGGGACAGGGGCCTCCACCCGATCCCCTCCAGAGACACGAGCTCCCACCACTCTCACAAGCCCACAGCAGCCCTGCCCTTGGAGAGGCGCCCGGCCATGAGCCCCTCCCCAGTGGCTCTGCCCCAACTGTCCAGCCCCGACCCTTCCCCCAAGCAAGGTCCAGAGAAGAAGCAGAGGCTGGACAGTGGAGGCCCGGGAATGCTGATGGCACTTCAGGCCACCTCAGACCATCATCCTCACGGTACCTCCTAAAGCTCCCATGATATGTCCACAGAAGAATGTAAAGCCCCATAACCCTCTGCATGCAGATGATACTCTCCCAAAAGAGCACAACCAATGGAAAAGCAGGCAGGAGACATTGGGCTTACCTTGCTGGAAAACATCTGCCAGGAGGAAGGAAAAACAGAGGCGGAGAGAGGGAGAGAGAAGCGAGAAAAATAAAATTAATAATAATGTTGAAAATGACAGTGATACTCATCATAGCTAACATACACTGACTATGCTAAACACTCTTGGTACGATATTTCCTCTACTCAGAGGCAGTGGTTAAGAGCTTGAGTTCTGGAAGGGAGCTGCCTGGGTTTAAATTCTGGCTGCATGCTTACTAACTCTGTGGCTTACAGTTCCCTAAACCACAAATAGATTTGTACTAGAAAGATTAAACAAATGACGTCCCATGTTTTAAAGGTTTAGATCGGTGCCCGGGACATAGCAAACATACAAAAGTTGCCAGTTATTATTCATGTTAATATTATTATTTTCACAACAATGCTATCAAGCAAGTTGCAATATTATCCTCACTTTATAGATAGGGAAACTGAGCTTCTGGAAGGTTAAGTAACTCATCCAAGGTCACAGGGGAATAAGCTGAGGATTGAACCCAAGTCTGTCTGATTCCCAAAACCATCTTCTTACCCCCTACTAAGCTGCCTGGCTGGTTTATAAATAACAACAAAAGCAACAAAGGCACACAACAGGATAAACAGAGGAAGGGCCTATGAATAAAGTTCCATATTTAAATCATAATAAGCACATTTGTATGAATTCTCCAAATTTTAACTCACAGCTAATTAACACTATGTCTTCATATTAAATCCTAGGTCAAAATCTGTTAAAAGGTGAAAAAATATTAATTCATCTTTTTCAATAAATATTTGAGAAGCTACCATATGCCAAGCACTGGGTCTGGCACCAGGAAACATGCATATTAGCAAAAAGCATAAACGAATAAGCAGTGGCTAACACCTGCCGAGGGTAACCGCTAGCATGACTTACAACACTGCACGTTTGTTCTGCCTGTTTCTGAGCTTTATATAAATGGACTGAATTTGTTCTGTCTGCCTTCTTTGCTCCACAGTGATCATGGGAGTCATCCTTGCTGTAGCATGCAGTAGGTCATTCATTCTCACTGCTGGATAGTATTCTACCACGTGATTTTATCATAATTTATTTCTCCATCCTAATGTGGATGGATATTTGGATTGTTTTCAGTGTTGAGCAATTAGGAATTGTGATACTTTGTCCGTATCTTTTGGTGAACATATGTGCATATGCAAGGTACTTTTTGACATCAGGCTCACCCTGCTTCTACCGACTTTCAATCACCCCAAAAGTATTCTTATCTCCTCCTACTTTCTCATCCAGTAACTTAAAGATGGAAGATAGCACTGGCAAGAATACAGACAGCACCACCCAGATGTGAGTCAGTTCCTGCCCTGCTCATGGGGTTGTAAATAGGCATAAAACTTCTACAAGATAGTTTGAAAGTATGTATGGCAATGTTAAATATACGTCCTTACCCTAACAATACCACTGCTAGGAATTTCATTTAATGATACCTAAAGGTCTTCAAGTACCTAAAGTCTACAAAGATGTTCATTACAGCATTGTGTATAATGGACAAACAACACAGATTGCCTATTTGTTTGTCTACAGAGAATCAAACCAAAAATAATATATTCCATATAATGGATTATGGTTCAACCACTGAAAATGGTTAAAGATTTTTATTATTTTTGAGTGAAGAAATCAGACATGGAACATGTATCCTGAACCCATGTATGTGCATGTAATAACATGCCTCACATTCATAATCTGAATTAAAACTTATCTGCATCTTAAAAACTAAATGAGAATTATATCATCAACATCTACATTTGCTGTCAGTCTTCAGCTAAAACATCAGTTCCTACAAGGTCACAAAGAGCCAAGGGGTCACAAATGGCGTGGATGAAACATGTACCTGGTGGGTTAAATAGACTGCAAGGAAAGAACACCAGTGAGAGCAGTTTTCATTCCACTGGTGCACACGTGACCCCCGTGAGGGGTGTCATTCACATGCAATACACATGCTCCCCAGGGCATACCCAGGCCCATGGCTGTGGGACAGATAAGACAGATGCAGGCTCACAACTCCCAGGGAATTGGCTAAATCACCACCCTTTCTCTCACACTCAGGAAAGCCAGCTGGGATGTAAATGGGCAATACTGGTGTCATTATGGGAAAACTTTAACCCTGCTTTAATTTATATATGCTATACATTATTCTCTAACCTCAGGAATTCATCACCGGCATAAGTTCTGATGCAGCAGTGTGTAGAATGCCACTCAGCTCCCATGCCCTGACTGTCCAGAGACGGTGAAAAGGACCACGTACAGCTCCCTAAATATACCATGGTGATCACGCGCATCTGCTGCCTGCAACGCACAGTCTGAACCACCCACCCTCTAACCAGCTCACACACCTGGAGGAGCCCTCCTCCGCCGCCTTCAAATGTCACAGCCCCACTATGAAGTTTCTCAGAGCCTATCCCCACGAGAGGAAAGTCACTCTTCCCGCCTCTGTGCTCCCAGGGTAACTTGTGCATGTGGCAAATATACGTCATATTATAATTAGTTATTTATGTAGACCACAAGCTCCTGGGAACAAGAGCTATGTGTCTTGATCACCTTTGTGGAACCTAACTGCCTGGCATGGTGTGCTCCCACACAGGAGGGAAGGACAGAGGGGCTGGTCTGTCTCAACACCCATTTGGTCCAACTCCCTCATCTTATGGACGAGGAAACTGAGTCCCAGAGAAGTAAGAGATTTTTCCCCAGGTCACACATGGCGTCTGTTAAAGGCTGAGCCGGGACTATGTGAGATTCATTTAACCTTAATGAAGCACAAAAGCTCATCCTTATTATTAGCAAAGTACAAATTAGAGATTTATCATTCTCCTCTAATGAATACAGACAAAAATTTCCAACATTGAAAACATCAATTAAATGAGATTAGTCTTTCAAATACGGATCTAGTCTCGACATCCATCCAGAAGCCTCAACCAACCTCCTCTCCATGGCTTTTGACAGGGTGCACTTCCTTTGAAACTCAGTACTGATCTGAGTCACTGGAAAGTATCAGTGGGCAGGGAGGGAGGAAATTCAGGCAGGGATTCAGGAATAAGATACCTTATTCCTTCCAATTCCACCGCATATATCATGGTTTAGCAGACAAATCTACATAGAGTACTATTCATATCTTCTATTCCAGAAAGCTCTCCTGATTTTCATATAAGCTATTTTAGATTTTTTAGAAACCCTTTTTCAGCTTCATTTACATTTTGCACCTTTTTATTCAAATGTAAATTTTAATAAACACTAGTATAAATATTACAACAACTTTGCACGAGTTATCTTGTAATTTACACTCTAAATTTATGTCTTTTGTAGTCTATGGCATAAATCATTCCATTCTCAGCATTATTTAGCTCTTTGCTCTGAATTATAACTGCTTGGGTACCTTCTTTAAAATTTCACTTTTCCACACTGAAACAGCCATCCAGGCTCGTGCTCAAATGATTCATGGACAGAAGAATGGAAAATAAGTGAGAAGAAGGCAGATTCTGTGCTGTTTTACCCCCCACCCCGCCCCGAACTGTAGACCTCAGAGGACATTAGCCATAGAAATACTCTCATCATCTTCTATTCTGGTGTACACAGCCATGACCCACAGGGACTAGTCACTTATAAAAATCAAATGGCGTCAAATTTGAGTGCAATCATCTCCTTCCGGTCTAACCAACCACTAAGAATTATCTGGGAGTCAATCACTTATGATCTCTGCACTTGAACTGACCTGGAGATACTTAATACCACGGTGTTGGGAAGGTTAAGTTAGATGATTCACACAAACATTTCCCCGTCCCCCCATCCAGGGCTAAGGAGAATCACTCTGAGAGCAAGACTCAGCAACGTCTTCTCTGCTCTCCCAGAAATCAGAAATCACAGAAGGAGCTGGGAGTTGTCAGCGCCCAGCCAAGCCTCAGTCAGGTTGAGTCCAAAGGCCACCAGGGACACTTGTGCAGAGGAAATGAACTCCTTCAGACAAAGCTCCACTCACACTCACTTCCCAAGGGAAAAAACCTCAACCCCAATCCTTCAAATAAACAAAGCAAGCCTGTTCTCCAGCCCCACACGCACCCCCTGGAGCCATTCTGGTCCTATATATAGATGAAAGGGCATCTTCATCCCCATCAGATGTGGGGAGAAGAAAATAAGAAAGAAAGAGCTCAGATTTGCCTTTCTTAGCCTCAATGTCCAATTTCTACTGTTAGGAACGAGCATCAAGGATATTTGTCCACCTCCTCCAGAGCTACCGTGAGCTTCACACCCCAGAGATCGTTAATGCGCTGAGTCCTCCAGAGACAGGAGCCATAAAGAGACTAGATTATTTATTATTATTAATAAGTTATGGCAATTAGGCTGGGTGATTCCTAAATGTTGCTGGTTAAAAACTTTCTTGAGTGCTACTCATCCACATGGCTAGTGTTTACCTCTATTAAAAATGATTTAACCACACTCTGGGTGAACCCATCTCTTGTGCCTGGGTTAATAATTAGCAGTGCACAGAGCCACGTGGGTTAATTGAGTTGGCTCTTCTTTATTTATCTATTGCTTTGTTTTATGAGGAGAACTGGATGGCAGTCTTATTGCCCATTCAGTCTGCTAGGAATAATTTACTATTTCAAACCACAGCTCGTAACTACGGTTAGAGAAACCCTCACTATTATTACAATATCACATCTAGCCCACACCCCACAGCATTAAAGATATGCCAAACAGCGAAAGCGTGCATGACTTCCATAAGACTGGGGGAGGTAAAGTTACTAGTCCTCAAACAATGTAATCACACTACTCTCTCAATTTTGCTTCCTTTTCTAGGTTAAATTATATATGAGGGGAGTTTAGTTTCTTGAAAATGCATGCACTTAATTCCCATTTAAGAAGTCTCACCTGGGGAGATAGCTGTCTTGCAAGTCCTCCTGTGGTTTGAGCTACAGAAAGAAAATTCTCTTTCAAGTACAAGTGCCGTTACAGTAAAGCACTGTAAATGTCACTGGGA